CATTTTAAGTTCCAACAGTAGTCAGCCATCATTCTTTTGACCTGACTTCATTGATATTGATTTTCATAACTTTCATCTCATTATGGAATCTTTCAATTTGATCATCGCTAACATAACCCAAATAAAAGTTTCTATCACAAATACTTGATGCAAACAATGTAAAGTGATTATATCCAAGGACTTAATATTGCTTCAATTCATAACTTAGAAAAATGCAATTACACTGTCATTATCATCATGTATTATCATAATATAAAACCCAGGTGTTTGAGCAATTAGGAATTCAATAACAATTGTTTTCAGAATTAATTTGAAAATTATGGGAAATTTGACTCTCAAAAGTCTTCTTTTTTTTAAACTTAAATTCTGTACAGCAAAATGTGAAACTAACAAGTAAAAGCAGACTTGATTTTGGACTCAGCAGCCTAGAATTAGCCAAGAAAAATATGTTGACTTGTACCAAAAGATGAGTGAGTAGTGTTGTTGTTGTTGTTATATTGATTTTCTATGACATATTTCTTATTATCATTATCTATTATTGGATAATATTCCTGTATTTAAGCACATCCCAAAATATTTTATTCATTTATTTAAATGAAAGCAATATATTATTATTATTATGAGTAACAAATACTCAACCTATGAACAGAGAAAAATCAGTTATAATAGAAGTTCTCTTACCTCTATAAAATTTCTGTATAAACAACATTTTCAGCAAGACAGATTGTGGATAAGCCTACCCATGTTCATGATAGTTAGGCATCACATAAATCTCCTAGATCTCTTTCTCACTTTCTCTCCTGACAAATGCTCCACTGAAGTGTTGCCTCCCTTGGGTATTTCAGACCATTCACTGGTTCTATGTCAAGACTAATATCACACCAAAGGCATCATCTGATGTCCAATTTCATAGGACTATCTTTTGGTACATCAAAGCTAACTGGGATAGCTACATTATCAAAGCTCCTCCCTCAGCATTCTTCAAAAATAGAGCCATCAGAATAGCATCCCTCATTTCTGAGTGGATTCTCTCTGTCATGAAGAGTTTTATCCATACTATAGAGAGCTTTATATCCATCCCCTACTTGACTTCCCCACTCACATAGTGCACAAACTTTGTGATATTTCTATTTCAGCTCAGGAAGTTTCCAGACTCATCAAATGCCTTGACTCTACAAAGGCTAATGGTCCAGATAAAATCCCAGTGATTCTTCTTAAGAACCTTAGCCCAGAGATATCTCCAATCTTGGCAAAGTTGTTTAACCACTGCCTGAAGAGAAATGTTTATATTTTATAATGACAAAATTATATATAAAAAAATTGAACATTTTATCTGCTACTGAATATTTAAATGTTGTTATGTTCTTAGAAGACTTTAACATAATATAAATTTGAAATTTGTTTGGAATCTATGATTTACATTTATTATGTAGAGTTTTGATATATCTGGTAATAATTCAATAGATTTGAATGAATGGTGTTCCATGAAACTTTGAAGTTAGTTGAGAGATAAGTCAATTGAATTTTTATTGATATATATATATATAACAGCAAAAATGTCAAAATCGTGTAACAGCATAGGATAATTGTCCATCCCATAAAATGTTTAATATCTAAAAAAAATAAACTAACTGAGTTTCTTTTTTCTAGGTTTTCAAATAAGAAGTTTAGTCATCTTGACACCAAATGTCGTAAGGATCACTGAAAAACCCTTTGAGTTATTCAGCTAGAAAGAAAACAGGTTAAATTCATTTTGTGACAGTCCCACTATTTTCTCAGCAATGGTACCAACATTCATACTTTGGCTTCCATCTTCAAAGTCCATTCAAGAATCATCAAGAGAACAGTGAATAAGTTTAAAAAAGAGGGAACAGTTTAGAGAAAAACTGGATCAGGAGGTCATAACAGCAAAAGGGATGATCATTTCAACATAGAGCTAAATATATTCTTATTGTAGAGTCAATTAGTGTTATAAAAACCTTGAAGAATTCTAGTAAGATATCTTTAATCATTTTTAAGATACAATGGGTCAAAGCTTAATCTAAAAATTGGACAATTTTGCTGTTACATGATTTGGACAATGTATAGAATTAATACAAATATCACTTAGCTGATTGATGTTACCATCTCTAGAGTTTTGTAGATGGACTCTTCAGTAATCACTCCATTCAGCAATTTATATATATATCAATATCAGCAATATATATATAATATAATAGATTATAAAATGATGTTTGTCAATTGATTAAATGAATAGGACCTCAGTTACAAGGATTAACAATCATGAGACCAACAATGAAGCCAGTAAATGATTTGCAAGATTTATTTCAGAGTGCAGATTTAGATCATTGATTATTGGGGAGTTTTTGCATCCTGGTTTCACTAGTTATGAATTTTCAAGTGTCTGCTCATTCCAGATTAACTGGAACACAACAATTTGTGCAGCTAACCTGACAAAGTTGGTGATTATAGCTGTGTCTCACTGCATGAAGCTTCATATGATTAATGAAGCCTGTTTGAGACAAACAAAGGCAGATATTTTTGTTAATGGCTTATTCCTTTCTGGCTATCTGCTTGTTGATTGCTCTTGAGATTGTGGATTGTTGAAACATCTTCAACCCTTCCTAGATGCTAGATTTCCACTATATGCTGTTGAGACAGTTCACTTCACAATTTCAATCAACCACCATGTATACCTTAACCAAGTCCTTCAAAAAGTCTCAAAGACATTCTCTTGGTTTGTACTGAGGACATATTTCTTGACAAAGTTCATCATACAGGATTTGTTTGTTTCTCCCATTTCTATGACATGATCCATCCACTGAAGTCTGTGATGATGAATGCATGATTCTAGGCTGACAGAATTAGCTCTTGAAAGAAATTTGGAATCTGGTGTATGAGATAAAGCATTAATTCCCAGAATTTTGTAAAGACAACACTGATGGAAGCACTCCAGTATTTTTATTTACTGACAGTTGAGAACCCAAGTTTTACAGAAATAATGAAGGATTGTTAAAATACTAGAACTGTAGACAATATATATTTATTTCTAAATTTTTTATCATTATATATCAATAATCAAACTTACAAATTAAGAAAGTCATTCATTATTATTATACTTACTATTATTTATTGTGACTGATACTAAATGTGTTGTCTATATTTCTGAAATGAGGTATTATGTACATTATTTACATTATTCAGACTATTGTCCTCATCTTTGTCGCCATATTTATTACAATGTTTCGTCCGTTGTACACTCTGGCCTTCTTCAGGTGGTTGGAATGTCAAACTGAACCATTTATTTCGCTCAATAGGGTAGACTGTTCTAGTTCCACGTACCATGTTTAATGGATATCAGTTATCTGTTATCTCCTGTTAATTTTACTTGAGGACACATGATACAGAGGATAAAGGTGTTAGTTAGATCCAGTGACAGGACCCAAAGAGTGTGAGTTCAATACCCAGTTAAGGCAGTGGAGAACTTTCAGAGGGAAATTAACAGGAGAAGGCTGGAGCATACAACAGCTGAAAGGTAATAAATATGGCGACAAAGATGAGGACAATAGTCCAAATAATGTAAATAATGATACTATATTGTTTATAAATATATATCAGTAATCATATTTACAGTGGTAAATCCTGGAATTAACTACATCCAACAATATTCCATTCATTTGTTATAATAAATACTGCACATAATTATTATCTTTATTATTTGGTAAACATAGACATTTGTGACCACAAAAAGACAGAGTGTCAAAAGGATGGTTTTTCCCATGACACTGCTTTTTTTTAACTACCTTCACTCTTCAGCAATGTTTATTGTTTAAAAAAGTGATGATTAGAATTGAAATAAAACTTAAACATGAAAATGAATTTATACATTTTCTTTGTTCTTTAGGACTGACAACAAAAATAAATAAACACCATTTATGTTTAAGTTTTATTCCAATTCTAAACATTGCTTTTTAAAACACTAAACATTGCCAAATAGTGGAAGTAGTTAAAAAAAGTAGTTTCATGAGAAAAATCATCCTTTTGACACCCCATCTTATTGCAGGCACAAAAGTCCATGTTTGTCTATTATTTTTATTATTATTATTACTATTATTATTATTATTAATGAATATTTATTATTCATTATTATTAATGATATTATATTGATTATTGGAAAGGGAATTGACAAGCTAAGTTCAAATTCTTGCTTAGTCTGTTATGCTCACTAATGTCCTTGGGTAAGGCTTGAATCCATCTCTTCTCCCACTCAGTTACAGGATTATAACAGGATAGATTGAGCTCTTTAGACTTGGCTGGCAACAAGCCAAAGAGAAAGAAAACTGTATAACAAACTATGAAGAAGGTAACAGGACCTCCCTCTACTATTATTACAGTTCACAGATAATACACTCCACTTTGATGATCTCTGATTGAAAGTGTTCCTAAGTATCTAGGTGTGACTCCCAAGTTCCATTGGCTACCACATCTTTCAGATTTAATAAAAATACAATTTTCTTGACACCCAACCCTGATACACTCCCACCATGCTTTCTCATGAACAGAGATGCATAGTGCATTAGCACTTAGGGGGTCATGCCCAACTAGTTAAAGTCAGGCAAATGACAAGCAAATCTGTGGTAATAAATGAAGTATATACTATAGTCCATATTAATTCACCAAGATTAAATATATACATGTTAATACCTCCAATCAATTAAGACCAGAAGCTATGACAGCTATATATGGTGCAACATCAGGACAGTTATTTATATTTATTATTATTTAACTTACTGATATTATATTGATTATTGAAATGTATCAACAATCATATTTACAATGGTAAATCCTGAAGCTAAGAAACAATATATCCATCCATATTCTAATGAATCTCACACATCCCTATTATTATTATTATATTACATTTGAGAATGTATATTTATTATTACTTACTGTTACTGATATTATATTGATTATTGATATTCATTGATAATCATACTTACAATGGTAAATCCTGGAGTCAGGTACATCCAACAATATTTCATCCAGTTATTTAATCGAAAACCATACATCATCTCAAGGTTATCATAAAATCGATCAACACCTGTAAAAATCAAATTCAAATGTTGATTACCTGGTCAAGAGCAGCGCCTTAAAATGGCTGTCATATGTCTACACAATACATATAGATATATATATATAAATATATATATATATATAAAAAACATGAAAAAATAATTAAAAGAAAACAAGACTTTGAATGGACCATGAGAAGTATTGGGGGGGTGTATTTAAAAAATTGATTTTACCTCCTTCCCCCCACATCACTTAAATAAAGAAAAAAAATTACATACATTAGAAAAAATATTGTGCCAGAAAAATTGAGTTATTAATTGGTATTATTTTTATTTTTGTTAAATTAAAATAAAAATATGAAATAAATACATCCTCAAATAAATGCGTATGTGTGTGTGTATGCATATGCACATATCTGTGTGTGTATGCGTGTGTGTGTGTGTGTGTGTGTGTGTGTGTATATAAGTTATGGTAAAAATAAAAATTAATGAGATTTATAAAAGTTAATGACATTTGTCAAAGTTCATTTTTTAAGAAAAAATATTCCTATATGAAATTTGGTAAAAATATATGCATTTTTTTAAATACATGTATATTGGAATAAACTTTCTACATTAAATTATATCTATGCAAAATATTTTTTATCAATAATAATAAAAAATTTAAATAATTTACATGAAAAGATTATTTTTAGGAAAAGAGAAAAAACTTTTAAATAATGACAAACATAAATAATTTATCTAAAACATTTCTATATGAAATTAGGTTAAAAAAACATTAAAATACATAGAAATATTATGCAAAAATGTATTTTTACTTAATTTTATATTGAATTGTTTTTTGCAATAACAATGTATATCACAGAAAAATATATTTTATTACCTTCTTACATTTTATTCAATGTTTATGTAAAAAATATTTTTATTGATTTTCATATAGAAAAATGTTTTCATTAAAATGTTTATGCAAAACGTTTTACATAATTTGATAAAGAAATATAGATTTTACCTAATCTCTTATATAAATATTTTTACTGTTTATTACTTAAAACATTTTACCTAATTTCATACTGAAATGTTTTTACATTATAAATCTTTATGTAAAAATATATTTTTACTAATTTTATATAGAAATATTTTTAATATAATAAATATGCTTATTATGTAAAAAATATAGTTTTATATTATGCAAAGAATATTTTTTTAAACTTTTTAGCATTATTTGTTTAAATAATTTAAATATGTTTAATTTATATATATTCCTTCTATACATTTTTTTTGCCTAATTTCATATAAGATATTTTTTACATGATAATTATAATTTGCCCATATCTATGTTGTGGACTCTTGGTGACTGAAAAATTTTCTATGTGATTTTTAATATTGAGAAATAAAATGCTTTAATGTTTCTTTTAAGTTTTTGTGGTGGTTGGTTACAGTTTTTTAAAACAATAACAATAATATTATATCATTATATTTTTACACTGGACACAAGCTTACTATAAAAGATATTTTTCTGCATAAGAGAAGAAATGGCTAAAGAGATCTGGCAGACTTTGGGTGCAATAGGATTATAACCTCCACCCACTCCAAAGAATGGAAGGGCACTATTCATAAAAGAAAAAAGATGAAGAGAAGAGCGCCCCCACTCGCATAACTCACTACCCAACACTTTGATGAAAATTAATTTTGTTTTGAACCAATAAATATGTATACTCACAAGAATTTTTTAAGCCCAAAAGTGATCTAAGAGATCTCCCACTTTGTCTTACAATACCTACACCCTCCTTGAAAAATAACCCTCCTGAGGTCCATTCGCCAGCTCGTTTAACATCACACATTTAAATTAAAAAAAAAAAAAAAAAAAAAAAAACACTATATGTTATTCACAATTTAAATTTTCCATATTTGAAACAGTCTGACAATCCAGTTTTTGAGGGTCCATATATGAAATTATTAGAAAACAGGGCAGTGTAATACACACACACACACACACACACACACACACACACACACACACACACACACACACATATATATCTACACATGTGTATATGTTTCAATGTATGCATATATATATATATATATATATATATATATACACACACACATACATATATATATATACACATCTATCTACCTATATATATATATATATATATATATATATATATATACATACACACACATATATATGTAGATATATATTGTCTATTTGTGTGTAGATATACACTCACATATATATATATATATATATATATATATTATTTATCAGGAAGTAATAATGAGGATAACATGCATATTCTAGTTACTAAAAATGAGCTTTTTCATTAAAAAAAGAAATATTTTAAATATATGAAAAATTCCAAAGGAACAGCAACCATGGTCACACAAAGTTGAATCCACGGAGGCCATGTTTAAATTTCAGCAAAGTTAGGACCTCCACAGAGGAAAGTGCAAAAGTAAACCAACTTCTCTAGCCTTGGTAGGGTAACAAAACAATCAGAAAGAAAATGTTCCTCCAGGGAAAGTATTAATTTGTGCTCATTATTAGCAGAGTGAGCATGACTGCAACTCTTATTTTTATTATTTCAAAAACTTCTTACTATTAACAAAATAACATTTACTGATTCGATATTGTACAATATGAAATTAAATATTTATTAAGATCAACATTATAAAATATTAAATATCTATAAAAAATCAATATTGTTAATTATTAAATTAAATATTAAATTCTGATTAAATATCATTTAAATATTAGACACGTATAAAATCAATATTAATTTTAAAATTATATATCAAACACTTATTAAAATCAATATTATTAAATAATTAATGCATATTTAATATTTAATGTATAATTATTAATTAAATATTAAATATTTACAAAATAAAAAAGTATTAAATATTAAATAATTATTAATTAAATATTATATAATTATTAAGCATGTATTAATCAACATTATTATACATTAAATTACATTTTAAATAGATATAATAAATATCAATTTATTAAATATGAAATTAAATATTATTTAAAAAAATATTAAGTATTCATTAAAAATAATAATTAACTAATACTTGATAAATTAAATATTTTAAAATCCCATTAAATATTAATTATCAAATCAATATTAAATGTGTATTAATTAAATAGTAAGTTTAATATAAAATTATTAAATATTATTTAATAAATATTAAATACTTATTACAAATACTATAAAATTAAATATTTCCTCAATATTAATTATTATGCACTTATTAAATATCCTGAAATTACTTATTAATAATTATTAAACATCAAACATGTATTTGATAAATATTAAACAACTAGAGATAATGAGACAAAGTGGCAAAGTTCATTTAGACAACACTTAGACAATCTCTTTATGGCAAATGTCTTCAAACCAAAATGAGAGACAAACCCAGTGTATAATGAATTGCACTGGAATTTTTGAGGAAGGTGCAATAAATAACCTATCAGATACTACACCAAGAATGATTTTTTTACTTCATATTGAAGCCATTGACATATACTGGATTTGAAATTAGTAGATCTGTTTTTATTTCTATTAGTTAGTATACCACTTTGTGCTATTAATGCTTTTGCAATGATTGCTGAATCCAGTCTGAGGTTGACTGTAGAGAATTGTGAGATCACTGCACTTTCAATACATTTTCTTCCTGGTAAATTATTTTCTCTTCTGATCAGACTGACATTTATTAAGTTGAAATTCTAGTCAGATGCTGCAGTAGTTAATTGTAATATATCTGACCAGAGTTTCAAATGCCAGTCTGATCAGAAGAGAAAAGACTTCATTAAAAAGGAAATGCATTGAGTCAATTCTCTAGAGTCAATCTCATATCAATCATCCCAAAATCATTAGCAGCATAAATAGTATACAAACCAATAGAGAAAAAACAGAGATCTACTTAGAATAGGTTAATTTCAATTACAGTAGACATTAATGGCTTCAATAAAAAATAAAAAGAAACTTACTGAGCATAGATTTTGATAAGGTTATGTAATACACCTTCCTTAAAAATTTAAAAATTCCAACATACTTTTCTTACACACAGATGTGTCTCTCAACTGACTTGAAGGTAACTGCTATAAAGAGGCAAAATGCATTGTCTGAACAAACTTTACAACATTGACTCATTATTTTCACTTTTCTTTAGATATTATTCTACATCCTACTAACACCTATATTAAATAATAAATATTCAGTATTTAAATATCAAAGTTTTATTAAAGACATTAATTTTTAAAAAATTTTAATATACATTAAATGACTACTGAACTTCTTTATTTATATAAAGATTCTGATAAAAATGGAAAATTTCATGAAGCAAAGATTATGTAGTGCCAAGGAGAAAAGGAAATACATTTGACTCATGATATTAATAATGTACGAATTATGGGACATTAACAAAATTTTTATAATTTAGAAAATTTATATGGTGATTATAGTCCTGAGCATATTGTTTCCAAATGGAAAGAGATTTATTTTCATTCTACTAAAATATTAATTTTAATTTTTATATTTTAAATCTTTTTAAAAACATTTATTTTTTTAAAGTTTAAATAATAAATAATATTTTCTTTAATTCATCTTTAAATAAAATGTACAAAAACTTTTAAAAATTATTAAATATTAAATAAAAATAACATTGAAATTATTAATTTTAAATATTAAGTAAATATTATTTTTTTAAAAGGTTTTACAATATTAAGAGCTTAAATATAAAATATTAATTGAAAATTGATAATAAAAGAAATAGGAAAATTTAAAATAAATACAGAAAACTCTGAAAATATTACAAATTTTATTAAAACTAATTTTTTTTTTTAGATCTTTTTAAATTTTAAATAATTTTAAAAAATTAAAAATAAAATTGAAATGAAGAAAACAAAAAAATATTTTTAAGTTTTAATTTCTTTTATAATTCAAATATTAAAACAGGAATTAAAACAGATTGTTTATATTTTATTTTTTATATTAAATATTAATATTTGTTTTAGTTTTGTATACTACATAAAATTTTTAAATTTAATTAAATAAAGTGTAAATGAAAAGGAAAACAAAAATAAATAAATAAAAAATAATGTATAATTAATATGCAGGATATTGTCTCAAATCAGAAGCTGCTCTTCAAACTTCAGATCTTTTTTTATATTCTTTCTATTTCTTTCTTTTGTTAATATTAAAATTATGTTTTTTTAATTTTATTTTAAATTTGAAATATTAAATAATTTTAAGAATTAACAGTTCATTAACAGCAACAGTGAAAATAAATAAGCAAAATATTGTATATTAAATAATAGGGGACTGTCTCAAAACTGGAGACCCTCCTCGAACTTGGACTTCAGACTGCTTTTCTTCTTTTTTCACTATTTTAAAAATATTATTAAAAATTAATTTTTTTAAAAAATATTATTTTTTACTTTTAAATAGTAAATATTTTTTAAAATTAATAATTCAATAAAATGTATGGGAAATATAAAGAACATAATGTAAATTAACTCCTAAGGGACATACCCAAAATTATAGACCCTCCTCGGACTAGACTTCAGACTGCTTTTCTATTTTTTCTTTCTCTTTTTAAATATTATTAAAAATTAAAGTTTTCAGAAAAATTAAATTTTTTCAAAAATTTGAAATATTAAATAACTTTTAATAAAATTAATAATTACATAATAATGAGATGAAAAATAACAAAAAAAAACCAAAAACATATTTAATCCTAGGGGATGTTGTCTCAAAACACGAGACCCTCCTCGAACTCGGACTTCAGACTGCTTTTTTTTTCCTTTTTTCTTTTTTTTTTGTTTGTTTGTTTGTTTGCTTGTTTTTTTTTTCTTTTTTGGGGTTTTTCTTTTTTTTTTTTTTTCTTTTTTAAATAGTTTGACATACCGTATATATAAGCAACGACGACCGACTCGAAGAATGCCACTAGAAGCACTATTCTGCTTGCGGGATAATAGTCGTAAAGCTGAAAGACATACATACCGCCCTTCAAAAAAGGACGGTGATACATTTAAAAGATTTGGCATAGATATAAGAAAATTCAGATACATACATGACTCGAGTGGTCTCCATTCCAAACAGTGTGTGTAGGGGGAGAAAGGTCTGGAACAAAAAAGGGGATGGCCGAGGGGAACAGGGAACAGATTTACCTTTTCATCTTTTTTTTTTAGTTTCACCTCAATATGAGCATCAGTAAAAAAAAAAAATTATGTGTAGTGAGAAAAGTCTGCAACAAAAAATGTGATGACCGAGGAGAATAGATTTACCTGTTGTTTCTTTGTTTTTAGTTATACCTCAATATGAGCATCAGTAAAAAAAAAAAAAAAACAGTATGTATAGTGAGAAAAAAATCTGCAAAAAAAATGAGATGGCAGGGAACTGTGTGAATTTTTCTTTAGTTTCAACCTCATCAGTAAAAAAAAATACAAAAACATATGTATTGAGAAAATGTCTGCAAGAAAAAATGGGGATGGCTGAGAGGAATAGATTTACCTTTTTTGCTACACCTCAGTATGTGCATCAGTAAAAAAAAATGTATATGTAGTGCAAAGAGTCTGCAACAAAAAAATGGGAAGAGCTGAGTGGAGGGCAGGGAATAAATATATTTTTTCATTTTTTTACCTCAATATGAGCATCAGTAAAAAAAAAAAAATTAAAAACTGCAACAAAAAAGGGGCAGATATACCTGCACTTTTTTAGTTACATCTCATTATGAGCATCAGTAAAAAAAATACAGTATCTGTAGGAAGGGAACAGATTTACCTTTTTTCACAATTTTATCTCAATATGAGCATCATCAAAAAATATATATATAATAAATAAATATTACCAAATCTGGAACAAAAATGTTGGTGGCCAAGAGGAGCAAGGACAGATAACTTTTATTTTTCCATTTTCAATATGCAAAAAAATCATGTGGAAATAGGGAAAATATTTATTTTTAAAAGTTTTATCTCATCAGTTAAAAAAATTACAGTTTGAAGGAAAAATGGAGATAGCTGAAAGTAGTAAGGAACAGTTACATTTTACCTAGTTTTAATGCAATATAAGCATCAGTAAAAAAATTACACTATCTGGAGGAACAGAAAACTTACTTTTTTCAGTTTTGCCTGAATATGGGCATCAGTAATAAAAATTAGACTGTCTAAAGAAAGGGAACAGATTTCATTTTTTTAAAGTTTTAGTTCAATATGAGCACTAGCAAAAAAAATATTGCAATCTGTGAAGGTAAGAAGTTTTACTTCAATATGAGCAAATGAAATTTTGGAACAAAAATGGGAATCTCAATATGAGCATCAGTAAAAAAAATGTTTATGTTTTTTTTTGTTTTTTTACCTTTATATGAGCTTCAATAATAACAAAAAAATTCTGGAAACAAAAAAGGTGGGGAGAGCCAATCTGGGGAACCAAGTGAGGGAGAATTATATTCGTTTTTGTTTTTGCCACCAGTAAATTAAAAACAATTATTTGTGTCAAGGGTGGGGAAGAAAAGTCAAAGATAAAGGGGAACAGAATTACCATTTATTCTTTTGAGTTTACTACCATATCTAAATGGATGTCAGAACAGGTAATGGGAGGGATAAAAAAAACAAAAGAAAATGAACAAACATTGCTAAGAGTTTACAAAGGATAGGAAGTTGTGGAGAGTACTGATTGCTCATCTCCTGGGACTCATAATGAGGAAAGAAGGCTTGAAAAATTTGACACCCACAGAATATGTTGAAAGGAAGAAAGAGAGGAAAACAGTGAATAACCTATGTAAGAAATTTGTGTAAATGGATGGCAGAATTAGAAGTTGAAAAGAAAGAGTCTAAGTAAAAAAAAGAATTAGCATATTTGGTGGGATGGGGGTCAGAGTGGAGGAGAAAAGGTAGAAAGCAAATTAACTTCTGTTTGATTTTATTTTAATATGAGCATAAGAAAAAATGTCTATATTATATCTGATGTGAAAATTTTATATCTGGGGTGAGGGAATAATTCTTTTTTTGCTTTTTTTTCAATATGATCCTATATATATATATGGATGTTGGCTGGCTAAACGAGTATGACTATTGCTAACATGCATTAATGTTCATGAGACTGAGTGTGATATTTAAAATGAGCAAGTGATTTGCAAGATTTATTGCACAGTTGATCATTGGAATGTGAAATGGTGGAATAGAAATACATTTTTTTAACTTCATTATCAACATCAGTAAATAATTATGTGAGAAAGATTCAGAGAATAAAGTGGGTAGCTTGGTATAGTGGGGAAGAGGAAGAAGGAGCAGGCCTCCTTTGTTTTGATTTGTTATGCCAAAATATGAGCAACAGAATAAAGTTGCAAAATGAGTAAGGAGAGGAACTCAAAGAAAGTGGTCAACATGAAGGGTGAAATGGCTCTCCCCCTTTTTTGTCTGTTTTATGTCATTAAGTGATTAGGTGTAAATTAAAAAAATCAAGAAGTGAGGGCCAAAAAAGATGGTAAGGAAAGATCTGTGATTTTTCTTCTGTTACTGTATCAATATGAATGTCAAAAATTATCATATAAATATAATATAAAGAGAAAGGGATACATTTCAAATAATATGTGTTGGTAGGGACAAGTAAATCTTTTGGGGAGTGGAATAAAAGTGAATGGCCGAGAAAGAAGACGGGGAGAAATTGCAACACCCCCAGGATACACTTTTTTATTCTAATGCAGTGTGAATATCAGTAAAAAATATATATACATATAAACATTCATATATAACACAGGCATAAAACAAACAATCCCATAATCCTTCATTCCAAACAGTTTGTATGTCTGTATGTGCGTGCAGGGGTTTGTGTATGTGCGTATAATGTTCAAGAATGGGTCAAGTGAAAGCTCTTGAAAGCAGAGGATGAATTTTGAAGAATGTATTAATGAGAGAAGATTAACAAAATTCAATACATATAAATATAATATGCATATAATGCTATATATATATATATATATATATATATATATATATTTATGAATAAAATCGGAGAAATTTTCATATATATATATATATATATATATATATATATTATATAATTATATACACATATTATTATACCATATGCACATATAAAATATGTTATATGTCATATAATATCGTGATATAGATATATTATAAAGCTTTCCTTTTGTCTTTGTTCATATTGTCCTTTTTTGGTAGACATATTCTATTTGAAATTTTACATATATTATAAATGATATTATATACATATAATCATATATAGTATATAATATGTCATATATTGTATACAAAATGCTATATATTATACCTCTGATATGTAATATACATATTATATACATAATGTTTTATATAGAAATAATATTATATCCTAGGGATATAATATTATGCATTATTGTATCATGTATCATATATAACATCATACAGATATAATATTGTAGAATATACATATAATGTCTATATTATGAATATAATGACACATAATATATATACATACATAAAATGTTATATAAATAATGTCATATAATACTATATATCTTATATAAAATATACATATAGTGACATACATTATACACGTTATATATTGTGCATACATGCTATGTAATATGCATATAATGTTATAAAATTATGTATTATATGTCATATTATTGCATCATAAAAATATAATGCAATATTGTTTTATGTATATATATTATTATATATTATGAACATGATATACATTATATACATAACATACAAAGAACGTTCAAAATGTATCCAACTATTTTTTCCTACCAAAACTAATGTTGTGTGGGCAAAATCATTTGAGAGGGTGGTGATACCAACCTTGCTGTGCATGCATGAAAATTTTTGCACTAGTAGGTCACATCAGTAACCAGGTCTTACACCTAAAAGCACAAACATGTAGTATATGCTAATCATATTTTAGTTTTCACACAAGACGACTGAATGCAGCGAGCAGTGATATAGCATCAAGTTTTGCCAAAAGATTGGTGATACTCAAGTTCAAACCATCCAGAAGATTCAACATCCAAAATAGTAATAAACACAGGATCAGTGCATTCCATTTCAATGAAGGATTTGTGCATGCAGAGAATGACAGTGAAATTTGTCCCTAAACTGCTGGCAGAGCAGCTATTCAATTCTGATTGGAAATTGCATGGTTTTCAGATTGGGGAAGAGTCATAAGTTACATGGTGACAAGTGGGGAGAGAAGTGAGCCTGTTGAATAAGTGATGTGTTGTTCATAATCAAGAAAGCTTGGTGTAATATCTCTGCTTGATGCATTCAGTCATCTTATGTAAAGATGAAAGTCCAATGAGTACACACAATACATCTGTACTCTCGGGATAACAACCTATATTATATATATGTAATGTATGTTATGTATCATGAATATGATATATAATATATATAATATAATTTTATATTTATAATATTATATATTTCATTTGTGATATATAACATACATATAAAAGATATATATGTAGATATGTTATATACATATATTATATATATAATGTAGCATATGTCATATATTGTATTATATATATATTATATAATATTGCATTATATACATAATATAATCATATACATAATATATATCATAATATAATTTATATACATAATAATATAATTATATACATATAATTATATACACAATATTATATCATATATAATGTTATGTGTAATGTTATATATATATATATATATATACACATATATATAGGTACATAATATTATAAAATATTGTATTGTGTCATAATATTGAGTCATATAGATATAATATTGTATAACATTGTATTGTATATACATATAATTCATATATTATAATTGTATATTATATTATATGCATAATATCATATAATATTGTCTAATATAAATGTAATGCTATATTATATACATGTTTTGTGTTATATACACATAATATATCACAAAAGTGTTATAAAATATTAATCATATATTGTAATATTATATCATAGGTATAATTTATTTCTGATATTGTTGTATCATGTACATATAA